TTAGTCAATTACCAAAATTTGGATGATTTTGAATATTCACTTGAAAAGTTATCAAAGAAAAACATTTTTCATTTTGTAACTTCGAGGGCCCGTAACTTGGTTACGAAGACTTTTAGGAAAAAAAGTTATATGAAGTACTGGTGATATTTTGACCCCATCTATACATTCCCTAGAGGAAAAGAGGAAGTCCAGGGACACCCTGTATATCAAACTGCTACTTTTTATATACCAAAACAATAAGTGTTCTGCAGTTCGGTTTCAGGAAAGGTATGTCCACTGAACTGGCGATTTTCAATTCAATTAAACATATCACGGAAAGTGTAGATAGGGGAGACTCTTTGGTAAGCTTGTACTTTGACCTTTCAAATGCTTTCGACACGAAGACCATAAATACTTTTGAACAAACTAGAAGATTACGGTATTAGGGGAGTAAGCCATAGGCTTATCTATCAAATTGTTCACAAGTTGTTGCTATCTTGCAAGGGGTAGCTCAAGGGTCAATTATTTTGTTATATGTGAATGATATGTCTCAATCATTGAAACTTGGTAGAATATATCAGTTTGCTAATGACACATCGGTTATTGTTACGGAAAATGATATGTCATAATTCACAACAAAGGCTTCAACTGTTTCACTAAGCATGGGCATGTGGTGTGAAGAAAACATGCTCAAGTTAAATGTTGAAAAAACGGGCCTAATAACTTTCAGTGAAAGAAACAACTTTGAGGAATCCCCATATGTGAAACTTAAATGTAAATCGTTTCCAACATCAAATCATATAAAATTTCTAGGCGGTATACTAGATCCGATCCTCAGCTAGGAAACACATATGTGGAGTTATACGATATCTACGGGACCAAGTATCTATCTGTCAGTTGTTTGAGAACATATTACTATGCTCATGTTCAGTCAATTATTTCCTATGGGATCATATTTTGGGGCTCTTCATCAAGCTCACAGAGAATATTCGTAACACAAAACAAATTATAAGATGTATATTAAGATTAGATCGTATTACTTCATGTAGGACATACTTTTCTGAACTTGACATTTTGACAGTGTATTTCCTGGGCCTTGTCAACTTTGTGAAGAAATATCCCCACCTGTTTCCTAAAAACGCTGATCAATATTCTGCAAATATGAACCTCAACACTAGACATCGAAATGCGCTATCTGTCTCTTACCATAAATCAACATATTATGAGAAAGGTTCACAATACCAAGCAATCATAGAAAATGTAGCCGTTACTCTGATATCTTCTCTAATAGTGACTGATGAACCAAATGAAGTTAACAGGCAAGTAAAGTTCAAGAGGACTTCGGATTCAACTATTTATATATTTCATCATATTCATTTGTGAGCTGGTATTAGGTCAAAAGTGAGTGAGTCCATTCGACCCTCCACCGCAACCCGCAAGGGTTCATTGTGGCTGTATGAGCTGGTGTAGAACAATTTCAAAATTCGTAAAAAATACATCGATGTTACCCTAACCGGATCTATAAACAAGTACGANCGGCAAACAAATGGCTATCCATCGTGATTGGCCAAAAGATAACAATATCATTTTTGTGAAATTTTCTGAATTAATAATTGCTGTTTTCAGCAGAATATTATTATTTGCATTAAGTTTGAATAGCATCACGGTCATCATTCTTGAACTTTGTGAGAAACTTCATCATATTTTTTCCGAATAATCCAGCAAACATCAATATTCTTCCTTGTCTTGGGGCACAGTTTTCTTCAACTAATATATCATTTTGTTTTGCTTCATCAGTGAGTATTTTTTGTCATCCGTGGTTCTATAAGATTTTTATGTACTTCCTTGTTTAGTGTGTTTATATTTTTACATTCATTACCTTTTCCTATGGCAATGAACTCGACTTCATGTGTTAAAGTTCCTATTGTTTTCTGTACCACTGGTTTTGTCTGAGTTCCAATACAGTGTTTGTTATTTTCAGAAGCTATTTTATTTTGTAGATCTGCAATAAGTTTTTTCATTTCTGTGATAATTTTTTTATGTTCTTCCGACGAGTTATTGAGTTCCATTTCTGATTGTTCTGCAGTCCGCATCAGACCATCTTTCTCTTTGTGTAACAGCTCTATGTTTTTCCGTGCTCTTCGCAGCATAATATTTTGTCTTGTGAAAATTTAATTTAATTTTTGAATTTTTTTTGGATACAGCTCCGGTGATAAACATTAGCACATTTGGTATAATCATAGTGAAAAAAAGTTTTCGATTTGCAGCTCACAAAAAGGAAATGAAAAGACTATTGTCAAGCTTACCAAGGGAGAAACTCATCATTTTTCATCCAGAGCGAGAAACAACATCATTCTCAAAGGTTTTCTGCTGAAATCGCCCAGTTATCACCCGATGATGATTGTGGATACTAACAATAGAAACGTCGTGAAATAACTTGGTTTGATATCTTTGAGGTGGAAGTCCGAACCAGTAGAATTCATCATGGAACATTGTTGACCACTTTCAAATAAATACCATAATTTTCATTATGGTGGTTATGCATGGTTTTTGAGCAACAACCACTTGCTCGCCACCCATTTCGTGGCGAATTTCATCGAATTGAAAAGCGAGAGAGTTATTCAATAGCTAGGACTGCTTAATGAAATCAGATGGTGTGAACTGCATTATCGAGTATGAAATCTTCAAAATTAATTGGGATTTTGATCTCATCTGAATTCTCATAATATGATGAACCATACGGCTTATATAAATGCCCATGAAGATTAATGAGAAAATGTTCAAGCATGGGCTTCTCAAATACATCCAGTTTATCACTTGTGTAGATTCAGAAACGATATTTGTTATAGCTTTATAAAGTACGCTTTCATTGATATCTTTTCTCAGATCGCAATTGCTACTGCTGTCCAATTCGATGGAAGGGTATCCCGACAATGTAAGTGTATGCGACATGAAATTTTACTGATTTTGGCAGCAGAATTTGTATCAGCTCTGGGTAAGCTACTAGATCGATTTCAGGACGGTCCTACTATCAGGAAATATTTACCGGTAGATATTTACTGGCAATCAAAAAATTAATATTTCGAAATGAAATTTCAAAATATTCATTTTTTTTATAGAATTTGGGTGGCCTATCCAACTTATTCATGTCATTATGAATGAGTTAATCCTTTTCACAACAAAAATAGTTTTTCTCGTAAACGGGCCATTATCCTCATCAGAATTACTGCTGGAATCATTGTAATGGTCCTGGCAGTACTGATACTTCAAAACATCACTATCATTTTGTAAGTTTTGTGGTAGCTTATCCCATACAGGTGCAATTTCATGTGGTGCAAACCCAATTAACTCATCTTTCAGCGAGTTGTTCTTTACTCATTTCTCGTAAGGTTTACACTCCGGAATATGCGATCATGAAATGTTTTGTTGTTGATGCTCAAAGTTATATGTAATATTGTCGCAACTCAGTACTCGCTTGGCTATTAACGAGAGGATT